TTCCAAATTCGCGTGAGAATTTTTGCCTATCCCACACGACGGCAGGCTATGTGCTTTGACCTTCGACTAAGGCTGTTTTCACCTGACTATTTCTTTTCCGAGACCGGGGTAACATGAAAATCTCTGAGATCCTTGTTGGTTGTTGGGGACGTAAGAACCTTGCGTTACGGGATCTTCTGTTATCCCATATTCTCAAGAAATTCCTTCTACCGCCCGGACGGGGTAATTCCCGAAACATCCGCTCTTCCTTCTTAAATTTAATATAGACACAAGATATCCCATGGTCACTTCCGTCGGTCTTGTCCTCATTACACCAGGGAAACAAGGGATTGAGTACCAATCTGTGCTGACGTCGTAAAACTTAGTCGACTTCGCCTGACTGATCTGACGAACCATGTGGGACTTTTTTCCTCAATGTTTTTAGGTCGGAACTCATTGTTTACGTACCTGACAAAGAGACGTTAGCAAACTTTCCGTTCTTACGGACTAAAAACGTTACATGCATTACCTATCATCCGCAGGAACTTTAACTAAAATACACCCACAATTTCCTATTTAGGGACCTAGTTTATATTGTGTTCTAGGATGTCAGAGTGCCTCCGGTTTTAATTACGGTAAGGTTATCAATATATAGAATCTTTAAACAACATCTAAGAGCCCGTTCATCGTTATTGATAGTCAAAAAACAGCCAATTGTAGTTTTTTAATTCCGTAGGGTGCAAATTCAGGACTCCGTCAGGAACCTTTAAAATAAATCTAACTAATTAAATTTAGTCCGAACTAACTATTTCTACAACTCATAGTAGGCGTATTGTTAACTTTCAATGTCTTACTAAGGAATATTATCAACGGCTTGCCTTCGTATATTCACACTTGTTTTACCAGGTTCGTTGACTCGACACACGTGAGGTACCGATTGAAACCAAACGTACCTTCTAAGTAGCAACTGTGCATGTTTGACTCTCGCAAGTCTATCTTCCTGGATTTGCGTCGGATTTCGTCCAAGGGGACATACGGTTGGACTTCACGAGATCAGGAAACGTTATCCTATAGTACCAGCTATCATAGTTTACGTCGTGATTCTAGCTCGTTCTGTTCTTATTCTCTGTTCGGGAACAGGGACTCCGATAATCTTCCAGTAAACACTGAATTGGTCTCGACAGAGACACGATACAACACCAAGATTTCGGTCTGACTTTTATGAAGTTTATTTGTAATCAAAAAATTCATTAGTGTGTCGACAAACGTTGACGAAAGAGTTCAAAAAGCTTATAGTTAGGGCTGATTAGATTCAGCCCCTAGTTTTGCTGATATAGGCTTAGTTTGTCGGGGGACATCTTACTTCTTCCTTCTCTCTGTCTATACCTGTGTACTCTCATGTTCCGATTAACCCAGCTTCCCCAAATTTCTTTCTTTTTGGTGTCTATATACGCCGGGATCCGGAGTCATGGATGATCCTGCGGTCCTATGTCATGGATTGCGAGTCCTGGATCTTGAGCCGTGGCTGTGGTCCTGGATCATAAGTCCTGGATGGATATACTCGTGGATTCATCTTCCTATTATACACACATGCATTTCCAAACATTTGGACTACCTATGTTGCAAATGTATTATCTTTTCAATTTACACACGGCATCTATTGCACGTCTGTCCGTCCTGGGAGAGGGATCCCTCCTCTGTTGCTCTCCCTGAGGTTTCTCCCATTTTTCCCTTTAAACTGTGGGTTTTCTCTGGAAGTTTTTCCTTGTACGATGTGAAGGTCTAAGGACAGAGGGTGTCGTATTGTCATACTGATATTCTGTACAAACTGTGAAGTCCACTGAGACAAATGTAACATTTGTGATATTGGGCTATATAAATAAACATTGATTGATTGATTGATCTGCTCTGTTCCTATTTATAATCTTCTACTTTTACTTTGTTGAATTTGACCCCTGCCATGTCCAATTTCCCTGCCGGAATACATTTTCTTATCTTCCATCACTATTGATGATGTAGTTAAAAATAGAAACAAGTGCTGTCTCTCCTAATTTCTTTATCAATAAAAGCACACCTCTGATGTTTACGTACTGCTTGGATTTGAAGGTAAAGGTCGTTCTTCTCCTGGAAGAGCATGACCATTTTCTCCTCCAGCTCCTTCCTCCTTGCATCTGACTTTGCAAACTCCTCTTTGAGTCGAGAGAACGCCTCTTTCATGTTCTGCATCTCCTTCTCGGCCTCTGCGCTTCGTAACAGAGGCTTTATCTTGAAGAAGAGTCTCATCCAAGGCCAGTTCTTCACATTCATGAAGGACCGGATGTTGTACTGGATGATGTAAACGGACTCTCTATGGCGTGAAAAAGCAAAATAAAACAAGGATTTTTAAGGCTTTGCATATTTTTATAAAAAGCATTTTTACTGCCTAAAATGCTTACATTAAGTAGATATGTTAACACCAGCATGCTAACAGGTTAACCATTCTAAGATCTTGATGTTAAGCAGGTATAAAGATAACCATATTCTCTTTCTTAGCATAGCTTGTTAGCATGCTAACATTTGCTAGTTAGCACTAAACGCAAAGTGCAGCTGAGGCTAACTTTGTCGGAAATAAAGGGTTTGATAAATTAAGATTTTGACATTCTAGTGGCGCTAAAGGAAAATCATTAGCATCTATCCTGATTCCTGAGAGGAACATACTGTACATGTTTGAAGAAAATCTCATGACAATCCATCAAATTGATGTTAAGATATTTTAGTGTTTTTAAGTGAAATCCCAAAACACACATGCATTTACCACATATGTGCCACGAAAGACAATGAAACTTTCTTGAGATTTAAAGTTTAACTATTAAATACATGTTTTCATTTTGCTTTAATTCTTTAAAAGTCCCCTATATCCTTATATTTCCTAGACATTTCTGGTAGCTTTGTTCAACTAAAGTCATGCGTATATAAAATAAATGTATTAGTTAGTAGACCTTTTCTTTGACATCTCCTTCAGCCGCAGCCTGGTGACGTAGCCTCTGGAAACGGCCTGGATTCGAGTCATCAGCACAGCCAGACGCTCATCCCTCATCTCCTCCAGGAGACCCAGCAGGCCCGCTTTGAAAAACACCTGGAACATGAGAATAAACGTTAGGAAGAGGATTAGGGCCAGGAATAGGGGAAAAAGCAAGATTTGTATAAGTGGAAAGGTCGAGAATTAAATCAAAATAGCAGTGAATGCTACGTGTGATCTATTCTGAAAAGTTCTACGTTTATTCCAGACATTTCCACTTTTTAAAAGGTATTTCAAATATATTCTTAACATTATTACTGCAGTGGTGGAAAAAAGTACCCAGAACTTGTGGCTAAAATCCGATATCTTATCGGGACTGCTTATAAAATCGTACTCACCTAAAAGTACACAAGCATTGGTATCAAAAAGGACAGTTCAGGTTCATCTTAAGCAATGTTGTTCTTCAGTTTTATTAAAGATCTCCCACAAATGACTGCCTGTATTCTACTGTATGCAGATGATACTGCCATTTATTTTTCCAAGCCTGATTCAGAGTAACTTAGAGGCTCATTTTTAGTAGTAAGATCCTGTTTTCCAAACTAAGAAATACAATAAAAACCGAGACAAACAATGTGAGGTTTTTAAGATACCTTTGTGTATCCAAATCGATACTGGGCATGGTCCACATCGATAGAGGAGAGAAGTTTCTCTGAAGCCTTCTTGCTGTCGATAAACTGCCCCTCCGGGATCGCCCTGGCGTTCAAAATCCTGTATCTGTCACACAGAGAGTAGATTTTCAAACTTAAAATAGTGTACAACATACAATACAAATAAAACACAGACAGAGTGTTGTGAGTTACCTCTGCCTGAAATCCCCATAGAGGATCCTGCTGGGGAATCCCTTCCTGCAGATCCTGATCCCTTCCAACACGCCGTTACAGCGCAGCTGGTGAAGGACCAGCTGGTGATCCATGGAGCCTATGTGGAAAATACAAAGGAATAGTTCAACAAATGTTTATCTTGAGTTAAGATAACTACGATTTGATTTTGTTTGAGATCTGTAACAATTAGTAGAATAATTGTTTTGTGCATCGAAATGATCATCTATTTTAAATGTTTAGATTAATCATCCAAGTGATTTTTAACTTGGTTAGTTTTTTACTTAATGTAGTGGCCAATTGTCCAAAGAAAATTAATGTTCAAAGGCCACTTAGTCTAGGAGGCGAGTTCGAGTATTGACTCGCGTATATTCAAGAAATCAGATACCTTGCTCGTTCCATTCAGGTGCTTTATTGAGAGGTTCAATAGATCAGCTGGCGGCCCACTGCCGACGTGCAACATTTGCACGGTACAGTATTTAAACAAATAAACAAACAAGATCCCTCGGTCATACGGATGTGTGCGCTCAAAATGACAGAACAGGCTTTTTTCAGCCTTCCCATTTCCTTTGTTTTATACAACATTAAAATTATTATTTTAGGGGGTTTGGACTTAAAGTTGTTTCAAAGCAAACCGTTTTCCTCAGTTTTTCAAACAATTTCGTAAAGGATCATATACATTATATACATGTATTTGATTTATATAAAAGAGTTAAAAATCTAAATAGCTTTCATTACTGTCAGTTAATATATAGCTGGAGCTAGCAGCTTGTTAGCTTAGCTTAGCATAAAGAATGAAAACAAAGGGAAACAGCTTGTCTGATTATAACAAAATCCACCTACAAGCACCTTTAACGTTGAATAATTAACACTTTTCTTGGTGTGAGGTGAAGATGTGTGAGGCTGGTATAAATCTTGTTCCTTTAACTTCAGAAGGAATATATTTCTTTTCACCTGGTATCTTGGTTTCATTGGGGATGATGCATCTCACAAAGTGTGGCTGTGTGGAACGCAGGTTGGACATCAGTTTATTCAGGTTTTCCTGAAAGAAAGAAACATATTATTGTCTCTTGAGAAGCAATTGTTCTATATAAAAAAAATTGGACCTTTAACTAATCAACAATATTATAGTTGTATCAAATGTATCAAAGGAATAAATAAAAAAAGAATAAAAAATAATTGTTTTAGTTTTACTAACTTTTACTAACTTACGAGACAGACAGAAAATAAATTCATCCTTATTGATAATTACCCTGAAAAGTGCTGAAACCGTCTGAAAAGAAGATCCTTTTTTCTTGGCACTTCTCTTACTTCCATCAGCTATAATAAGTAGTAATGACACATTAATACATCAGTTATTATCAAAAACTACTATATTTATTATTCTCAAAAGTGCTGTAAAGCAGAATTATTGCTTTGACGTTTGGTACTTTAAGTATATTTGGATGCTATTACTTTTAGACTTTTATGTAAATTACATTTTAAATACAGTACAGTATGTTGCATGCAACATACTGTATGTAAACCATGTGGTATTATTCATTTGAATTTAATAAAAGAGTACTTCTTCCACTTCTCCTATACAAACAACAGAATGTCATTATAATTCAAAGTGAACTGACCGTCAGCAGTGGAGTATGTTGCGAAGAGCTGTGAGAGCAGCTTCAGGGAGGCTTTCTGGTAAAGCTGCACCACGGTGTCGTTGAGCGGGTCTTTGTTCTTCTCCAGCCAGCCGCTCAGGTTGTAGTCCACGGTGCCGGCGTAATGCACCAGGGAGAAGTGGGCTTCAGCCTTTCCTTTGGAGGGCTTGGGCTTCTGGAAGATGCTGTTCTTCCCCAGGTGCTGGTCGTACAGCTTGTTCTTGAAGGAGCCGTCTGTTGCCTTTGGAAACATGCACTCCTCCTCGAGGATAGAGAAAATGCCCATCGGCTGCAAGGAAGAAGTATTGAGTGTTGGAGTAAGATAACGGATTGGTATAACGTTGACAAATGTCGCACCATTTGAAACAAACCAGTTTGAAATGAATTAAATAATTATTGCTCTGCACTTCTGCAGGAAATCTTCAATGTAACCATTTTTGATTACATATTTTATTTTTGTATATTCTTTAGTCACAGGGGTGTCCATTTTCTCACTGCATTTACCTCGGGCTGTGCATATTTTATTTATTTATATATACACAATATGAATGTAATATATATATATATTTGTTCTACATTGTCAAAAAGGGTACCGGTACTTGCTATTGGTCCACTGTATTTTTTTAAAGTATCATTTTAAGTATATTATGTGTTCCTATCTATGTATTCATTGTTATTCTTAATACTGCCTTGCTGTTTTCAATCAACTTATTTTGATATTAAAAAATGAAAACTAAATTTCCTACAAGAATATGCTAAGCAGCAAATGTTTTAAGTACAGTAAAAAAAAAAAAAGAGAAATCACAACAAATAAAAAAATGACGCACCTTTTCAATGAGCTCAATGCAGGCCGCCAAGTCCATGCCAAAGTCAATGAACTCCCACACAATCCCTTCCTTTTTGTACTCCTCTTGCTCCAACACAAACATGTGGTGGTTGAAAAACTGTTGCAGCTTCTCGTTGGTGAAGTTGATGCACATTTGCTCCAGGCTGTTCATCTGGAATGGACAACAATGATTAAAACAAATATAGACATTATTTCACAAAGATTTGCTCCATCTTATGTAGAAGTGAATCCTGTTTACCTCAAAAATCTCGAACCCTGCGATGTCCAGGACGCCAATAAAATGCTGTCTTGGTAGTTTGGTGTCCAGCTGCTGGTTGATCCTGGTGACCATCCACAGGAACAGCTTCTCATACACCGCCTTAGACAGAGCCCCACTGGCGTTGTTCACCTGGAATCAGAGGGGGAACAAGTTCTCATATATTCAAACCTTATTTCAATGTAATTTATATAGACTTTTCTGATGTAGAAACACACTGTACCTGCTGAGGAGTCTGTCCTTTGGTGACATACTCATTCCCCACCTTCACTCTAGGATAGCAGAGCGCCTTCAGCAGATCTGCAGAGTTCATGCCCATCAGGTAGGCCACTTTGTCAGCCACTGTGGGACCGAAACCACACGTTAAATGTATCCTGCAACCCTTATTCAGTTTAAATTGAGCTTGGAAGTCTCACCCTCTGTGCCGTCGGGCTCCGCCTGCTCCTCTCGCTGCTTCTGCTTGAACTTCATGTTCCCATAATGCATCACAGCGCCAGTAAGCTTGTAGATGCCAACCTTTTCCTCCGCGTTGAATCCCAGGATGTCGATGGCTTTCTGAGAAACAGACATGGTTGTAGAAACTTTGTGATTAGTACATTTTGGAGTAGATTGATGGTAGTTTCATCACATGCAAAAATATTTTAACTGATTATTATTTTTAATCTTACTTTTATTTGAATGATTGATTAATGCTCATTCCATGTATTTAAAATTATATTAAAACTTATAATGAAAAAATAAGTAATTCATAACAAGTGGTTGGTGTACTGAAAAAGTATAAACACATACATAAATAAATAAATAATATTTATTCATAATAATAATACTTTGTTTAAGTGATTTTTACAGAAAATTATATCGTACATTTCTTGTTTTCCAAACATCGCTTAGTCTGTGTTTCATGGTTTTTGCATGTATTATTTGTAATTATTTGACGCAGGTGCACTCACATCAGTGGCCATCAGCTCCTCAGTGTCGTTGATGCTCAGCACAGTGAGTTCCCCCTGGCTGATGAAAGGGTAGTCGTACGGGTTGGTGGTAATCAGCATCATGTCTGAAATGAAACAGAGAAAGTTCAGATTTCTCTGTGCAGGGTCAGTGCGGCATCAACTTCACAAAAAGGGTTTTACCGATTAATTCAGGCTTCTTGTTTGACATGATCTGATAGAAGATGTGGTAGCTCCTCTCCGCCGGCAGCTGAAATGTCACTCTGGATTTCTCCAAAAGGTCTTGATAAAATAAACACAAGTTACAAAGAGATATATTGTATATAGCAGTGGGATATTAATGACACTGATATACTGTAAGCTAAGCACACTTACACGTTTCAATATCAGCTGAGGCCAACTTCCCCTTTGTTCCAAAGTGGATGCGAATGAACTTTCCCTAAAAAAGTAAAAATTTGACAAATGATTTCTAATTTTGTTACAACTGACAAAAGCTTTGGTATTTGGAAACTGAGAACCAATGGTAACATAGTAAAAAATTATGTTTAGTAAAATACTGGTACAATTTTGAGGTACTTGACTTCCGTATTTATATATACAGTATATAATAAGTATTATCACTATTTTTACTTTTGATTCTGAAATCTGCAAAATCTACACTGTGGTATAACTTCCTTTACTTATATTGAATAGTACTTCTTCTACTGCTGTTGAGAATTACCATCTTAATATGTATTTTATCCGCTTTTAACTAGAATACAAGTTAATTATAATATTAACATTGTAATACTTCCTTGTGATACCATAATGGTTTTCTAATTATCAAGAGATAACAGGTCAAGGTTTAGACATGGGTTCAACATTGCTTTAGTAGGCCAATACCCCAAGATGGAGAGAAGATATCTACCAACATTTGGCAAATCATTGAGGAGTTATGGCACATTTTCTGGTAAGCCCCACCCTTTGAGTTTTTAGATTGGTAGCGTGTATGTTTAATAACCTTTTTATAGGCTTTATACAACATTTTGTGTTGATTAAGTCAAAATCTTCAAGAGCTATATCTAATGTTTCTAGCTTTTTCTACCCCTTCAGGGTCTGAGGCGTAATAATAATATTAGTAACTTTGAGCTTCCATACAGATCAAAGTTGGACTTACAAAGCGAGAGGAGTTGTCGTTCCTCACAGTCTTGGCATTCCCAAAAGCTTCGAGCAGAGGGTTGGCCTGGATGATCTGATCCTCCAGATTCCCCTGTGAGCTCAAACAATGTGGAAAACTTAAAGTCAGTTAAAGGTTTTTACATAAAGAATTTGGGATATGTCTTTGTATGACAAAAAAAAAAAATACATTTTGCAAGACACTATAGGTGAATAGAGTAAATCGTTAGGAGTATAAACCACCATTCAGCTTCCCCAGTTGATCATTTTCACTCAAACATTTTGTATTACAAGTTTTCTGAAATATTATCTATGCAAATGAGGCATTAACAAAATAGCGCTCAAACTCATCAAATTAACTTCTGTTTTTACCTGTAATATCTTGCATTAAACCAGTTTTGTTCTAGCTTTTTCCGGACATTGTTATATCTAACAGGTATATTGTTATAATGTGATAGAAGTCGACTGAACCTGCATTTTTCCGGGAAGTTGCTCTTTCTTGCTCGAGTCTCCGACCGATGCAATTGTTGCAAAGTACTGGATGACTCTCTTGGTGTTGACGGTCTTCCCGGCACCAGATTCTCCACTGACAAACATCAGCATGAGATAGGGATGAGGAATTGAAGTATATTGACAGTCTATTGTTTAGCGGCAAAAAAAAGAAATGGTACTTACGTGATCAGGATAGACTGGTTCTCACGATCTGTTGAACGGAAAATAAACTGGTCAACTTTGGTATTGTATTTTGCCTGTATTTGAGGTGTCATCTCTTTAATGTTCACTTTAATGTTCAGCTTTGAGGTAGTTTTAATCCCATTGCAGATGCTACATCATTTTGTTTAACTTTTACTAACACTTGTATCTTTGTTCTATTTTAATTCTTTTTGGCAAGGGTTACTTTTGAGTATGAAGTCCTACATTTGTCTCTATGATACACAATTGTTAAGACTGAGAGACAAATTAATACATATTTAACAAACAAAGTTAATGGGTCTTGAAAGTAACTTTGATTTTCTTCATTTAATCCTATTGCACAATCAAAAAGGCAGGAAGTAGGTGAGGACATTAACTATAGAACTTTCATTTGAATGTTTCTATTTTCTGCCTTCACTTCAATACATCAAACCATCATTCCTTCACTTCATTTATTTATTGAATTGTTTGAATTCATTTGATGATTTACATTTTTTTTAAATGTATTTAATCAACTTATTATAACATTGTAATGTATTATTATAGATTAATAAAAAACGTTACTGTTTTATAAGTTTAAATTCACAAGCTTCTCAGCAGTGATAAACAATAACAAAGATTATTTCTGCACTGTGGTATTTCTAAAAAAGCAAAAACTTTGCAGAAAATATTGTATTCATTTCCAACACCCAATAACTAGTTGGAAATTATGTTTTCACTGTTTTCTTTGGAGGATATTCTATCCTTAGAATAAACTTGATGATGCTTTTAAAGTCATCAAGTAAGCTTCAATTAGTCATATACGAGCACATCCAGATAGTAATGGTGAGCCTGGACCTTTGAGCATGTACTGGTAAGCGCTGTCAGAGATGGAGAAGATGTGCGGGGGGGCCTCCTGACGTTTCTTCCCACGGTACCCAGACACCACCTCTGGGTTGTAGACTGGAAGCCACTTATAGGGATTCACAGTCACACAGAAGAGCCCAGAGTAGGTCTGAGAGGAACACAAACTGTGAATTATGTTGTAGGAGGTTAGGTGTTCATTTCAATGTAAAATCTAAATAAATAACATGTGGACCATAAACTGATGTATGTGTTCGCATTAGTTACGTAGATCATCCAGATGGCGTAGCGCTCCTTGAGGTTGAAGAGCACGGCAGGTTCGTGCAGATGTGTGAGCAGAGCCATGTCCTCCAGCTTGTCAAACTTCGGAGGGTTCATGGGCCGGATGTCGTCCAGGTGCACCGTGACAATCTGAGGAAGAATTCAAAGGTCCAGTGAAGTCCGTGACAGGTAGAACCGATAGAAACAGGACAGATGTCAGAGTTTATATTTATTTATTAGGTGAAACCCTACAATTGTTTTTGTTTAACCTCAGGTAAGATATAACCTTTGGGACATTTTTCGGTAATTTTTAATGTTTGGCTGTGTAAATGCATACAACATATATTTTAGGAGGGGTGCAAGTTTGAAATTATTTTTTAACCTCAACTCTTATTAATTAAGTATTATGACATTCAGACCCTTAAAGACACAAATTCACAACTAAAAGCCATGAAAACCACATGTTGGTATTGCATTGCAACATAAAATAATGCAATATATTATATCAGGCTTTAATTGGGAGACCTGTCTTGAAAACTGTATTTTTTTTTTACTATTTTTAAGTCATGGTATTTCGGGTTTCTGAAACAAAAAATTACAAATGTTGTTGCTAATCATTAACAAATAAAATATTGTAAAAAGAAAAATCATCAAAATATTTTGTATATAACAAATAAATAAATGATCGTATTTAGTTTTTATCATTAAAAAAAAACACTGTAAAATGATTTGAAAAAACATTTTATTGGCTCGGGAAAGAAATGAATATGAACATTTTTTTTTAAAAATAAAGTGGGAAATCTTTTAAAATATTTTAGTTTTGTTGCAGTTTTTTTGGGTCAAACAACAAAGTGATGCACCGACCTTTGAGTCCTCAGTCTCCACTGTGACGCTGGATCCATCTTGGCTTCTGATCCTCCCCTTCACATACTCCTGCTTCGGGTCGGGCACGAACACTGCTGTTTTGGCATCAAACGGCATGTTTTGTGCTGCGATTCTCTCCCGCTCTGATTTGCGGAGGTAAGGGGCAGCCACCCCAAATATTTCCATCTCAGCGTCGCTCATTTTATCTGGCTGCAAGAGCGAGAAAACACATTTTCTCAAACAGGACAACAAAAAGATGTTGTGAATTCATCATCATCATACTTACCAGAGTGTTTCAGACCTAAAAGAAGATCTCCCGCTCTCTACTGCTTATTGTCTCAGAAGGACAGCACAGACGTCCCTCACCCTAACAAGTCTTAAACCGCCTTTATAAGCGCTGGTCCGGCCTGTTTCGTGGGGCTTTGTTCTCCTATATTTGGAGATCTGGCTTCCACGCCACCTTGATGAAGTCAAGTATGTCCATTTTGTATTTGGAACTTGCTATGTATAGCTGTATTGTGTCACTTGTAAAAGGTTTCAATTGTAACCCCTTCAGACCGTCCATTAAAAAGCAATGAATGCTAAGGAAGGCAGCTTAAAAGGCTTACGGGCCCCGACACCGCAGGCCTCATTTTCTGGGATCAGGGAAGATTAGGTCTGTTAGGGCATCGCTGAAATTCTGGCATTGGTTGTCTGAGTCCAGCTGGATCACACACCACTGTTTGGGTTTGTGTTGGGAGCAGCCGGGCAACATTTAGCACATTCCAGACAGAGGCCTGGCTCTGATAAAGATCCTTCTTATATTGATACATCTAAATATGCGTTTTGATATATAATTAATTATTATGGTCATCATGCTGAGTTTGTAAAGTCTACTTGAAATCTGTTTTCGCTGCTTTCCCTCGTTCCTACACATTTTTATGGAAAAACCAACACTACTGAGGTGAAGATTTAATAAATTATTTTTCAGGGAACAACAACTTAAATGTCACACTTTTGCAACATTATATCACAAGTATCATTAGTAGTAGTTTAATATACTCTTGAAGAAATGAGGACCATAATCTATCGACACTTTTAAAACTAATAAAAAATAGCATGCACGTGTATAGAACTGTTATACAACTAAATAAAGTTATTTGAAAATGTAGCCGCACTATAGCATGTTAATTTAACTGAAATCAGCTAAGTTCTTAGAATAATGTGATGATGATGATGATGATGATGATCAAATAACATATTTTAGATGCACGGTAGTCCAACCAGACTAATCCTGCATGTACCTTTAATTCACTCACAAATATACTAACTAATTTCAGTGTTTTTAACATATGAAAAGCAGTATGATAAACGTCAACCTCAATACAGCGGTATATTGTGATACCGGTAAACAGCCATAACCAGCAGCTGGTATGCTTCTTTACAACTGCATTTTTTTATATAAGTCCCAAAACTTGATGTTTACTACCTTGTTCTTAAATGCAATGCCCTATTCTCAAGCCCCAATCCAACTGGAGAATATCTTATATTGCCTACAATTAAATCTCCACAATGCACACATGTCTCTGTACCATCAAAATCAAATATATGTTCGCCCTCTTTGCAACTTCATTCTTTAATTATTTTACTTTTTTTGTATCTATGCCAAGGATGCTATGTTTCAGTTTTGTTGGTTGGTTAGTTAGCTTGTTAGATAGCTTAGCTAAGGATTTCGGAAAGACCACTGTACCGATTTTTATGGAATTCGGGGAAAGGCATGGTCTAAGAAAAAAAAAGTGACCTTGTGGAGTGGATCACATTCACTGATTGGATACACATATTATTTTATTTCTATGGAAACTGCGTGGATTAAGCTCTTTAGTTACCCTTTTCTTTGGTTATGATTTGGTGTTGCTTGTTATGGCACTCATAAAGCAACAACAATTTAAGAAACCAAGTATTTCACTCTATATAACCTCCCTGCCTTCAGCATACTCAACCATTTCTAAGATGTGGCATTACATAGGGAACAGAGCTGTTTAAGATATGGGCATGTCGTCTGGCAGTGCATCACAGACAGTCTAATTGGTGCTGATTTAATAGCCTCTTAATGTCACTTGAAGGTCTGGCAACAGCTGCGATTATAATTGGCTCTTGGTAGGCGTGGTCGGGCCGGTCAGGCAGACTTACAGTACACCGACCCCTCGGTCACGTTTCGACAAGACAACAAATGTGTGTGTGGACGTTTTAGTGTGAGGAGGTCACGGGTTGTGGATCCAGGGGTCATGGGACAAGAAAGAGAAGAAGCAGGGAGAAAAATCCCTCATCAGCTGGTAGTGCTGAAGAGAGGGCGACGTCTCACCCCGGGGGAAAATAGATCTGACGACGGGTGCATCTGCACAGGATTAGGGGGTCAACGGGAGAGACATGGACCGGCCGGGGAGTAGAGCTACTGCAAGCTACAGTCGGGATAGATGTCTCAAAACACTCTTTCTTTTTTACTTCTAAGGGTAGGATTTAAATCCAGCTTCTTCAGCTGTGCCATTTGTGAATCTAAACAGAAACAATTGAGAGCTAAATAGGCTAATTGTGCTCAGCCTTAGACCTTTGCAAAACCGTCACTTAAAAGGGAAAATACCAACCAGGAAGAGACTCAAAATGACAAAAAAGACAGAGACTTTGAAAATAGGGCACAAGAGGCACAAAAACATGACTACTAAGAGACACAAAATGACTTCATAGAGATACAAAAATAACAAAAGAGGCCGTAACCACTGTAAAGTCTGTGTGTCTTGCTAATAATACAGTAGGTAGAGGTGGTGGGGCTTGTCATGTCTCTATCCAGGGTCCCATCCTCTCATACAGTAATCCTCCCATAACTGGAACAACTGGGGGAGAAGAGAATTCAACTATAGTGGAGTGACGGCTCAATTGATCGAGTGTGGGAGGCTTGTAGATAACTCAGGCTGTCAATCAAAATGCAGTTTTGGTGTCACTTTGTTCAGTTTACAAGTGAAAATGAAGCTGTGACACCAAAGGTGTTTCATATGAAAATCAAATATATGTCTGTATGTCTGTACCCCACTTCTCTATTAGGGCTGTTCGTGTAAGGTAGTGATAAGATGCACATAATAGAAGATGTTGTGTGATGTTATGTGGTGTTTAACTATTTCTATCGTTTGTGTTTTTGTCATGTCTGAATCCACCACAATGTGAGCTGTGCCCCAATTCTGTACAACAGACTTAAACTTGTAGAATTCAGTATTACTACTCTTAGACTGTATAAAAAGGTACAACTGTATATTTAGTATTATTTGTTGCAGTTATTGTAGCAGATATTAAGTAATTCCCAATTTGTAAAAGCAAGAAGTGATACAAAACATGTGATACTGAAGTGAATCCAAATACTTCAAATAATGGAAGTATTTTTAAAAGATGAATCAAAATGAAGTTTAGTTTTTGCTCTGTTTATGTTTGCCTAATTAAGCTGTGAATGAAAGGTGTTGTGGTGATTGTGCATTGTGCGACAATAAACTGCTTGTTTCCTTTATCAGGGCACTAAATTTAATTCACTGTTGCAAATGAATTGCACATATAATAGAAGGTATTGTTTTTGGTAATGTGTTGTGTACGATTGTTGTGTTTCCATTGTTTTGGTCTGCATGTACTGTCTCCACGTAGTATTCAGTATCATATTTTTTATATCTTTTTTTGTGATCCATTATTTTATACCAACAGCAAGTCATACGATCCATGAGCCACCGATGTACATTTCGAATTCGACATACGTCAATTGATCAAAGGCAATTCTTTTATATAAAAATTGAAAGTACATTTAAAAAAGAACAACTACATTTTGAGCAATATTAAGAAATAAAACAGCTCAATTCTACTGAACAGGAAAAGGGCCAAATGTGAATTTTTCTTTTGGAGCTCTGAGATTAAAGACAGAATTCTGAGTCGGAATATCAGAATTCAGAAAATAATCACTTTTGTTATTGCTTTTGCAAGTCAAATTTTAAGTTTTACTACCCCATATAAAAACATAAACACGCCATAAAGCGCTCTTCACCAAATCCGACACGCATGTTTCGCATACTGCAATTTCATTTTTGAATTCCACTGAATAGTGTTTGCAGGGGAACAAAATGCCTTGGATATTGTGGTTTTCAACTTTAGGCTTTTATTAAAAAAACTACAATTTATCAATCCAGAAATCAATTAGTCCCATTTTGAGGGCCCATGTGACGGCGGCGTGTGTCTGGCTGCTGAACAACTGCTGTGTTGGCTTTTCTAATCCCACTTCTAAAAGGAGGAACATGACAGGTGTGAGGCAGAAAATATATGAATGAAACAATACAGATTGGTGGTGAGTTGAGATTAGAATAAATGTTATGATTTTCTAAGTGTAGCTCTTAATTATTAATATAATGTTCTCCATTACAGTGTAATACATCATCCTCCTCCAAAATAAGAAGGCTTTTAATGATATTATCAATCTGTGGTTAACCTCTGTCTGAAAGTAATTACTCATTATGGGAGAGCTCTGTGTCCTTGACAACAGTAATAAGATTAAAAAGCAGCAATTTGAATTAAATATTCAATCCATCAGAAAGTAATTCTTCCAGAAATCAAGTGGAGAAATCCTCAGAAAATTAAAAAAGATAAAAAGATCACTATACATAAATATGTCTCCATACTCTCAAAAATTAATAATTCAACTATGCAAATTTAATCTGATACAAATATTGTATTTCTTTAATTTTAAAGGGATATTCCAACATGTATTTTTCCTGCATTTTTAAAAACATTTCATTTAAATAATTTGTATAATTTAAAACAAATGTAACATTTAATAGAAAAATATTTCCTATTTTAGTTTTAAAATACATTTTTACGCATTATTTATGGCACATGTTTTGGTATAATCCAGTTTTTTCCTTTGAATGTTTCTTTATTTTAATAAAACCTCTATATGTTTATTCTAATTGAGCAGTATTTCAAACTATGAAGGCATATGTGCAGGTCTTCTTGCTGCCACTGTTAAAAACTGTCATTCCCCTAGTTTTAGGGGAATGATTGAATTAATAAAGAACTTTAATGTTCATTATCTCCCGTGGTGTTTGGCTAATTAGAACTCTTGTTTGTCTGTGAAAACATTTCCTAGAAGTTATGAATCCCAATTTCCTATTGGGATTCATAAAGTAATCTGTCTCTCTCTA